AAATGAAGATAAAATAGCGCACAGACTAATTTAACTAGTCGCTCCACTAGGGCCCGCTCAGCCAGCTGGTATGTGTGCTGTGTGTGAAAAAAATCAAAGTATAAATGGCAAGGGAAAATAAATAAACAAATAAATACATAGGTTCTCTTTACTTTGGTGTTTCTGCTGCACTGGTTACTCTTTTCTTATCGCCACAGGTCAAAATGTTCCTGCGATGATTGAACACTGTGGTATTTCACCTAACAGATAAGGGAACTTGTCAATATTTGATTTGTTTTCAAATTCTTTTTGGGTCCTTGTAATCTGAGATAAATATGTTTCTTATATGGTCTTACATTTGGCAGGAGGTTAGGAAGTGCATCTCAGTTTCCACCTCATTTTGTGGGCAGTGGGCACATAGCCTGTCTTCTCTTGAAAGCCAGGTCTGCCTACGGCGGCCTCTCTCAATAGCAAGGCTATGCTCACTGAGTCGGTATATTGTCAATTCTTTCCTCAGTTTTCTATGTTAATGTTAAATGATAGTCGGCATCGTGTACTGTCTGTTTAGGGCCAAATAGCATTTCAGTTTACTTTGAGATTTTGTCATGTTTTCCCAATAGGTAATATAATTTTATTTTTGTTTGGTTATAATTTCTTTGAGACAGATTGTTTGAGTGCTGTTCTGAGGCATTGTTGTGTTGGTAGTTGTTTGTGAATTTAGCGTCAGGACTAGCTAGATGAGGGGACTTTTCTCTATGTTAATCTCTTGGCATTTCAGGGATTTTTAGTGGTAGGAATCGCTTGTTTTTAGGTGGTTATAGAATTTGATGGCTCATTTTTGGATATTAATTAGTAATTTATATTGGCCTAATTCTGCCCTACATGCGTTATTTGGGGCTTTTCTTTGTACTCTAAGAATAATTTTGCAGAATTCTGCATGCAGGATTTCAATTGGATGTTTGTCCCATTTTTCAAAATCTTGATTGGTTTGGGGACCCCACACTTCACTTCCATACAGAGCAATTGGTACAATTGGAGATTTTAATATTTTGAGGCAGGTTCTAATTGGTATGTTTACTTGAATTTGTCTTTTGATAGCGTAAAAATCCCTTCTTGCTTTCTCTTTCAATTATACTCCCGAGTGGCGCAGTGGTCTAAGGCACTGCATCGCAGTGCTAGCTGTGCCACTAGAGATCCTGGTTCGAATCCAGGCTCTGTCGTAGCCGGCCGTGACCGGGAGACCCATGGGGCGGCGCACAATTGGCCCAGCGTTGTCCAGGGTAGGGGAGGGAATGGCCGGCAGGGATGTAGCTCAGTTGGTAGAGCATGGTGTTTGCAACGCCAGGGTTGTGGGTTCGATTCCAGTATAAAAAATAATAAAAATGTATGCACTAACTGTAAGTCGCTCTGGATAAGAGCGTCTGCTAAATGACTTAAATGTAAATGTAAATGTAATTGACAGCCAAGCAGAAACTCTGTGTTGTTTTTATCGCACTGCTTTGCTTTATCTTGGCCAGGTCGCAGTTGTAAATGAGAACTTGTTCTCAACTGGCTTACCTGGTTAAATAAAGGTGAAATAAAAAAACTAAAAAAACTACCCGTGGAGCTTATTTTTAAGCCCAGATATGATTAGACTTGTGTGCACTAACTGTAAGTCGCTCTGGATAAGAGCGTCTGCTAAATGACTAAAATGTAAATGTAAAATGTTGTATGTCTTTCATTCCTACTGTTAAATTGTGTTTTAAGTCTTGGGAATTTGATCTTTTTTGGAAAATCATGGTTTTTGTCTTCTTGAAGTTTACTGTCAGGGACCATGTCTGACAGAACTGATGTAGGATATTTAGATTCTGTTGTAGACCCTCTTTTGTGGGTGACAACAGAACTAGATCATCTGCTTACAGCAGGAATGTAACTTCCGTGTCATGCAGGGCGAGACCAGGTGCTGTGGACTTTTCTAATAGTTTTTGCCAATTCATTTATATATATGGTAAATAGAGTGGGGCTTAGGCTACAACCCTGTTGGACTTCCCGACCCTGAGTAAAGTAGTTTGTTTGTTTGCTTCCCATTTTTATTGCACATTTACTGTTTGTATACATAGATTTAATAAAATCATATGTATTCCTCCCAACAGGAGACCCTCATTGCCAAATGGAATCAAATGCTTTTTAAAAATCAACTAAGCAGGAATATATATATTTTGTTTTTATTTTGGTTCACATGGGTGTCAATAAGGGAGTTCAGGGTGTAAATATGATCAGATGTGCGGTTATTTGGTAAAAATCCAATTTGGCTTTTGGTCAGGACACTTTGTTCAATAAGGAAGTCTAGAAGTCTTGAATTTATAATACTACAAAGTACCTGTTCCAGGTTCACTCAGATGCCTCTGTAATTTTTGGGGTCAAATTTTTATCTCCAAATATCTCTCTCTCTCTCTCTCTCTCTCTCTCTCTCTCTCTCTCTCTCTCTCTCTCTCTCTCTCTCTCTCTCTCTCTCTCTCTCTCTCTCTCTCGCTCGCGCTCGCGCTCTCAGATTGCTTTATTGGCATGAAATACAATTTGTAGATATTGCCAAAGCAGTTTAGTGGTACAGCATTTTAGTAAATGGTGGTGAAGGAAGACAATGCAGTACAATGCAACGAGGATAATGAAATACAGTTTATTTCAGTAGTTACAATAATAGTACATATAATCATGTATACAGGGACAACACTACTGCTGTTGTATTGTGGAATCTTCGGTCGATAAATGTAATTAAAGATTATAAAAAGAAAAAGAAAGAATGGCTAATAAATAAACAACAAAATGTTCATGGATGATGGTTCCACTATGTATTACTTGTAAGTTATATACAATGTAAAACACTTCAGGGAATTGATGGTCATAGGATGTCCCTCAGACTCTGGCAGTAATATTTGCAGTTTCTCCCTCACCCAGAATAATTCTGAGCTTTATGTTATTAGTAAATGTGCAGAAGTTGGGAATTTATTGAGATATTTTCTTGAAAAAAAACATTATCTTATTTGTATTTATTTCTCTCTCTCTCTCTCTCTCTCTCTCTCTCTCTCTCTCTCTCTCTCTCTCTCTCTCTCTCTCTCTCTCTCTCTCTCTCTCTCTCTCTCTCTCTCTCAAGTGGAAATGGATAAGGGCACATTTTTTCACTGTGACTGCAAAATCACTACCATACCCCCCCTCGTGTTGTCTAGAAAGAACAAGGGAGAGCAGGGTTTGGGAGGATGGAGGGGTGGGGGGTCTTTCTCCAGACTGGTTCCACCTCGCCAGCCCGCGCAACATTGGAGAAATATTTGCTTTGGACAACTTTTTTTCCCCTAATGGAACAAATCGTTTCTGAAATGCCATTGTTTTGTGCATTGTGACATCACTTTGGCATTTCCTCCAAGGCCCCCCTCCCCCCTAAAAATACTTAATGTTCCTACATAGTGTTTTTTTCCCCTTTAATTGAAGAATGTTGTTTTCTGAAATGAGGTTGTCCCCAGTGCGCCCTTAGCTTGCCTTTGATGGTATAGCTATATCAAGTCTGGGCAAACGGCAGCCTACTGCACCGCAGGCTTTTCCCTCATTGAACATCTAGGGGATTTACAGTAAAAACACTGGCATATAAAGCACAGTGATTACTATGCCTAAACTGCTGTTGACATTCTGCAGGGAATAGTTTCAACATTTGGCTGTGAGGGTACTAGAAAGATAGGAGGTGTCAGTATCCAAATGTAACTTATGGGAAAGATAGGAGGTGTCAGTATCCAAATGTAACTTATGGAAAAGATATGAGGTGTCAGTATCCAAATGTAACTTATTCCTCACTGACCACAGGTGAATTGGCAGCGTCGCAGCCGGTGCTATTTGCTCTACTCAATAACACTTTGTAAAATCTTTATATTTTAGCTGTAGACTATGGTATTGGAGTATGGCGTCAAATAGCCTACCCCTCTGAACCTCACAACACAATGTTTTCCTTTGTGCATGAATGAACGTACCTATATTCCACTCTAATCAACAGTATTGATAGCAGTAATCCTTTAAATTATGTATTTGCACGCATTATCCGGTGGTATTCCTTTATCTGATGCACGTAGTGCTTTTCACTTCCACTGCCTGATCATCTGCTGCTGGAGTTTACCACTGAATCACATAGTCTTCCTTCACCACTGATAGGAGTAGGAATACCCAGAAGGATTTGCATGACTTTACTAGTATTCTGTCTATCTAGATTGACACTCCACTCTGTAGGAAGGCAGTTCTGTCCCTCAGGCTGATCAAGATTTACAGCTGTCCTGTCAGAGTGGAATGACTGTGTGATTGGCCATGCAAACTGGCAGAAGGGTGTGTGTATGTCTGTGTGTGTGTATGTGTGTGTGTGTGTGTGACTGTGTGTCTGTGTTAATGTGTGGGTTAATGTGTGTGTTCTACAGTATCTCTGTATCAGGGGTCATGTCACACGTGTGTCAAACTGATGACACTGAGATAGCGTGTGTGACAGTGGGGTCGTCCCGGATGCGTCTGGCTCTGACCTCTGTTCCACGGGGGCGCTGGACCTAGCTCTGACTGCTCCCTCTGATGTGAACATCACCAGCCCTGAGGACCTGTAGTGGCAGCATGCAAAACAACAGTCCCCATCATCAGCCACTATCTTTACAGCCTTTCCTTTTACTGATGACACCAAGTCTTCCCTCCGCCTACAGGTTTCCCTCTCCTGCCTGCCTTATGTCTCGGAAAACTCCAAAGCATTCCCAGATTCCAAGCCTTCTCTGGTGATTTCCTGTCTCTGTAAGTGACAATGACCTGCATACTCCATAAGGGTTACAACAACTACCCAATATCAGTTAATTCCTTTTCCCTCTCTCTTCCTGTTGCCTGGAATGTGTAGAGAGTGAGAGGCTGGCAGGCAGCTGCTGAACGGTGAGCATTGTGTAACAACATGGATAGTAGGCGTGGTTAGGTAGGTGACATCACAGGGTGAGGGGTATAATTAGTGGTGCTGGAGAACACTACAGCACAAAGCACCTGTTGCCTCTCGCTCTGTCTCTCTAGCTGCATCACTCAGGACTGTAAAGCTGTAGCTACTATTACTGTTAACCATAACTGTGTGTGTACTCTACTGTCCTGTGGACTCTTGGATATTATTGCAGACTACGTCTTCAGAGATACTCTACCAGAGAATAACTATGGCTCTATCACTGAACTCCATCCTGTCTCTCACCATCATCACACTCTGTGTGCTCCTGCAGGAGGGTAAGTTATCATCCTTTATACTTACTTTTTATTCAACATTTATATAACTTTGTTTTGAGCTTATTCTAAGGTGTGCATGTGGTACATGACAATGCAGATTTGTATTCTTTAGTCATAAAGATGACTGACAGTGAGTGTGTATACGTTTTATTATACAAGTGTTCCATTTTATTTTCATGAGGCTGTTAAATTGAACATGAGGGGTCATAGCTCAGTTGAGATGTAGAATTATAGCTCAGGGTTGGTTGAGGTGGTGGGGGTAGATCCAGAATAACATGATAAAACCTACAATGATGAAAGATGGAGAAACACCTGTTTTGTTGTCACACACCGGATAGGTGCAGTGAAATGTATTGTTTTACAGGCTCAGCCATAGTAGTATGGCACCCCTGGAGCAAATTAGGGTTAAGTGCCATGCTCAAGGGCACAGACAGATTTTTCACCTTGTCGGCTCGGGTATTTGAACCAGCGACATTTCAGTTACTGGCCCAACGCTCTAACCTCTAGGACACCTGCCGCCCTGATACTAAAACTCCTGCTGCACCATGCATGCTTGGTCTTGTCATTACTTAGTTTCACTCTCAGAATGATAACTCAGTTAATCACGGCTCTGGTAGGTGGGTGGCTAATGATCTTGTTGTGAGGTTACTGCATGACACATGCTGCCTGATGCCAGACTTTTTGACCTACTCCCACAGTTGCCCAACAGAGATATAATACAATACAATACAATGACAGATCCTGCTAGGCTATACATGTAATCACACTCTCTCTGATAAGATGCAGATTATATTGGCACAAGTTCAACTCCTATCACTGCATTTGACTTGAAACAACCCCAGTTGGCAACAAACACAGTCTTTGTTTTGATTTGGATAACATTTCATAACAGATTAGTAATGAATCAAAGTTCAAATGTGTTTGACAAGTACTGATACATAGGAGAATGGGATGGCAGTTAGCCTACATGCACTTCTCTGTATCAGTGAAAAAGGATTTTCATTAGGATGTGGTGACGTGCATTTGCTCATTGCTGATTGTCAAATTGCACAGTCATCCAGTGATTCTGCTGAGTTATAACCAGGCTCTTAACCAATGATCCTTTCTGTCTCTATAGGTTTTGGGCTACCTGTATCCAGCCAGCCTGAGCTCCCTGCCCAGTCCCCATCCCAGAACAGCCCACACCACACCAGGGTTAAACGATGCTCCTGCAATAACTGGCTGGACAATGAATGCATCTACTTCTGTCACCTGGACATCATTTGGGTCAACACTCCCAATAAGGTCATCCCCTACGGTCTTGGAAGCCCCCTGTCCCGACGTCGGCGCTCTACCGGGCGATGTGAATGTGCCCACCCAGCCGACAGGACCTGCTCCGGATTCTGCCACAACAGGTGAGCTCACCTTCATAGACAAGGAACTTCTACCCTCCTTCCCTCCCTCCCTCCCTCCCTCATCCTACCCTACTCTTTCCCCTCCTTGCCTCCTTGCTAGATACCAGATTGTATCAAGCCATTGACTATCTGTGGCATTCAGTCGTCTGTGACCAGCCTGTATCAGGTTGTATCAGGGCTGCTTGTCGAGGAGATGCAGGGAGGAGGCGTATTGTCTTTGTGTCTTAGATGTGTAACTAGCGATTGGGGAGGAGGGAGGAGGGGGGAGGGAGGATGGATGTGGGAATAGCCTGCATGTTCTGGAGGCTTAGAGCTCCCTTACAGACAGGTCCATTAGTCATGACACTATTTTTGGAATATTTTACCAGCGGGAATGTCTGTTGTATTAATACAGTTATTGCTGTTATGACATACCAAGGTTGAGGGTTAGTCTGTGTGTCCCAACAAGGTTTTATCCTGCTTTGTGAAAAGTCACTGAGAACAGGCTGTAGGGCATGCAGTACAGACATTACTGGGTTGAAATCCATAGCCAACTGTCTCTCACTGCTAGCATTGTAGAATTATGTGGTACAGAATCCAGTCTCATGGCCCTTAAGGAATAGTCTAGATAATGTTTTCTTGGTTTTCTCTCATTTTGACATGGTTGTTCTTTCTGTCTGCAGCTCAGAGAACCCCAGATTCGTAGTGGTAGGCCCCTCAGACCAGATCCTGGAACAGACTGTTAGCAGTCCAGACACAACCAGCAACGATCTACTGACCTCTCTCAGGTAAGAGAAAAACAAGATATCATCACAACCTTTTAGGACCAGACAGTTTCCCAGACCTAGATTAATCTTATTCCTGTATCCATTCATCTTATTCCTGTCCCCATTGAGGATGTTTTTCAGGCCAGGAGTATTGGCCCATAGAGAGATCCCCACTAACATTCAGCAAACGTTTTTTTGTGTCATTGAAAAGACAACATGGAATCTGATCTTAACCTGATGTTTCTCTCTTTGTTCTTTACAGAAACATGCTCCGATCCAACATGGTTGCCATTGAGCAGGCTGCTCCCTCCAGGAAGAAGAACGCATCCAGAGCCAACAGACTGAACATTGGGTAGATGAGGAGGAGGGAGGAAGGGGAGCTGAAAGAGGAGCTTGAAGAGCTCCAGAGCATCCGAACAAAGACCTCCTAGAGGAAACTAGGGAGTCCTCCCCAGGGAAGACATAGAAGAGAGGTCCTGAGAGGAGAGACCCTGAGAAGAGGGCAAAGATGGAACACTGCCTACTGGCTGCCCACTGATTGTTGTATACCATACAGTGGACTGGATATGGCCATTATCTGGATATGAGTCTTGGACTAATTTGGCTAAGACTCTGGTTTAGAAGACTAGGGAGGATCAAGTGTGTCCACTGTGAACTGTGACAGTCTGGACTAGGATAGTTACTGACTGTGTGCTGGGCATGGGTTGTCATCATGTCCCAAACATTAATACACTTTCTGTGTCTGAGCACCTGAAATGCAAGCCAAGGCATTCTGGAGTGATGTTAGCCTATGTTTAATTTACAGGCTTACTTCATTAGTACTTTGGAAATATTGACCACTATTTTCATTTGGATTTTGATCCTTACTTTACCTGTCACATGACATCTACTATATCATAGAATAACAAAATACATAAAGATTGTTCCTCTGTATCAGAGATGTATTGCCAGTTTATAGTGATTGCCATGCATGCATTTAAATTCCTTGAAAAACTTTTGGCACATGAAGGACATTACTTTAAGGGACAGGGAATTAATACACACACAGCCTTCCTGTAGCAGCAGATAAAAGCAGGTCTATTGTGATGGCGGGAGTATTTATTGCATAGCCACTGTTGAATGTTTTGATTGTAGACAGAGCCAAGGCAGCAGATTTCAATGGGTCTGCTCCTTGCCAAATATGCAGTGACTGTTTTTCTGCTTTCAACAAATGTCCATGTTATTACACATTAGGAACTTATGACACTGCACTTCTGTTCTAATGCCTTCAAAGGAATGTGTTTTTATGTCCAGTAGACTGTAGATGGGTTGGGCTGATAGCTGTACTCCAGCCACTGTCTGACCATTAAGGCATTTACTGTAAACACTACATCAGTCTTCCACTGATTTTGAAGTCCAATATCACAATGCTGTAAATTTATGATATGATTATTTATTTATCGTTTGTGTGTTGTTTAGGAATTAGTGTATCAAAATGCTGGACTGTGCTTTTGTTTTATGGACTGTTATCTCTAGAAGGACAATTCCTCCTCAGTAGTCTATTTAGCAGTCAAGGAAACTGTAGGAAGTTGAAAGAAATGTTTACTTATGAATTGTTCTATTCCAAGCTATTCACATTATCTACTGTACATGTACAAAACTCTCCAATTATTTATTTAACTTATTTTTGGGATATATTTATATATTTGTGTTTTGTGAGTTTATCAATTTTAATATGTGAGGAAATAAATACTAAAATGAATGCTCTTGCTTTGTTTGATTATTTTCTAACAATGATAATTGATTATTGTTTAGCACAGTAACAAATAACTGAATGAAAGCTAAATTCAAAGAATCCTTAACACAATTCTCAGATCTCTAAATTTTGTAAAGGTCATGAACAGTCAAAATCATATTTTTTCATGAAATTTGATGATATTTGGATGAAAACAGATCAATGTATGATGACCAAATTATGGAAAATGACTGTTGCTACTACATTGATAAAGTTTGATCATAAAATTACTGGTCCCCTTCCCTATGTCAAAGACTTGGATTCAGGAGGCGGGATTATTAAGGGGATAGGGTGACATCACCCTAACTCTCATTTTAAAACCTCAATGGTAGTAGCATGATATTTTTGTATCTAATTTAAATAACTACCGCCTTGTAAGCAACATCGTAGAAGACGTGTTTGCAGAGTGTCACGTTCGTTTAAGGACGGGTCAGACCAAGGCGCAGCGTGAAAATTTATTTAAATGATAAACACACGACAAAACAACAAACCAACGAAACGTGAAGTCCTAAGGCTGAACACTAAACAAGCCTTCACACGGAACAAGATCCCACAACTAACGAGTGCCAATAGGCTGCCTAAGTATGATCCTCAATCAGAGACAACGAGCGACAGCTGCCTCTGATTGGGAACCACACCGGCCAACATAGATCTACACATACTAGAATGACAACATAGAAAACACTACATAGAACACCACACCCTGACTCAACATATAAGAGTCCCCTGAGTCAGGGCGTGACACAGAGGGACGTGGTTTATATAGCTAGATAGCTACTCTACTGGTGCCAGAATTTGACTGCAGGGTGTCAGCAAATATAATAAAAAGTTTACACTATTCATTTATCGCAACGATACAGTACTTATGTGTGTCCCCATTCATCTGTATCTGGTGTTAGCTAGTTACTGTATTTTGTATTTCCAGCTGTTTGAAGCTGGTGTACAAAACCGGAAGTAAAAGACACCAAAACAAAACTTAAGAACGGGAAACGAAACTTAAGAACGGGAAGTATAGAAATAAATCACATACAGTGCCTTCAGAAAGTATTCATACCCCTTGACTTATTCAACATTTTGTTGTCTTACAGCCTGAATTAAAAATAGATTCAATTGATATTTTTTCTCACCCATCTTCACACAATACCCCATAAGAACAAAGTGAAAACATGTTTTTTCTGTCAAATTGGTTGTTGATCATTGCTAGACAACCATTTTCAGGTCTTGCCATATATTTTCAAGCAGATTTAAGTAAAAACTGTAACTCGGTCACTCAGGAACATTCATTGTCTTCTTGTTAAGCAACTCCAGTGTAGATTTTACATTTACATTTTAGATTTGGCCTTGTGTTTTTGGTTATTGTCCTGCTGAAAGGTGAATTTATCTCCCAGTGTCTGCTGGAAAGCAGACTGAACCAGGTTTTCCTCTAGGATTTTGCCTGTGCTTAGCTCCATTCCGTTTCTTTATCATACTGAAAAACTCCCCAATCCTTAACAAGCATATGCATAGCATGATGCAGCCACCACGGTGATAAAAAATATGAAGAGTGGTATTTGACGTTAGGTAGTTAGTAGCTACTGTACTCGAAATGTAGCTAGCTTGTTGCTACCTGGATAGCTAACTAAACAATAGCTGGAATGACCTAGCTTTAATATTTGGAGACGGTTTCTCTCCATTGGGACAGACGCAACTGGCTGAATCGATTCAGTGGCTAGCTTTGCACTTAACTGGCTAACAGTAGCTACTAAGGGTAAGTTATAACCTACATTTATTTTTGTTTTGTTTTTGCTGGTAACCAGAGTTGTTCAAGGGAATTCGGGACATGGGTGACTAGTTAACGTTAGCTTGGCTCTCTCTGTGTGTTCGTGCCGTGGGAGGAGGGTTTGGTTCATTGGCAGAGAGCAATGGCTAGCTATTATGCTAACTATTCTAGCTAACTAACTGGCTGAATAAGTTGACGACGTACTCACTCAAACTGTCAAAACTAACCCAAAACTTTACACAACGTTAGACACGGACAGGAATGATCTGCTTGGCGTGTTAACACACTGGTGGTTTGTTGTAACCGAGTATTGGTGCTAAACCGTGTTATTGGAGCTTGGCATGCTAGTTGGCTATGGTGTCATAGGATTCGGTGCCCTGGACGGTTTTCATGGAAGAATACTGTACCAAGTTAGCTAGCTGAATAAACTAAGTTAGGGTCTATTCCTAGAAAACACTGAACCGCTGCAGTTTACAACAATTATAATTTCTAAAGTGGAAGTTGGGAGAGTTATATTTTAGTGTTTCAGTGAAATGTAAGTGAGGGAGGCCCCGCTCTCTTGCTTTCCCAGATGTTTAGTTCATTTCATTCTGATCTCCTTTGCATTATTGTAGCCTTTTTCTGTAGCCTGTCAACTATGTGTCTGTCTATCCCTGTTATCTCCTCTCTGCACAGGCCATACAAACATTTCACACCACGTGGCTGTTGCCACACTAATCTGGTGGTCCCTGCGCGCATGACCCACGTGGAGTTCCAGGTCTCTGGCAGCCTCTGGAACTGCCATTCTGCGGCCAACAAGGCAGAGTTCATCTCAGCCTATGCTACCCTCCAGTCCCTCGACTTCTTGGCGCTGACGGAAACATGGATTACCACAGAAAACACTGCTACTCCTACTGCTCTTTCCTCGTCTGACCATGTGTTCTCGAATACCAAGAGAGCATCTGGTCAGCGTGGCAGTGGCACAGGAATCCTCATCTCTCCCAAGTGGACATTCTCTCTTTTTCCCCTGACCCATCTGTCTATCTCCTCATTTGAATTCCATGCTGTCACAGTCACTAGCCCATTCAAGCTTAACATCCTTGTCATTTATCGCCTTCCAGGTTCCCTTGGAGAGTTCATCAATGAGCTTGACGCCTTGATAAGTTACTTTCCTGAGGATGGCTCACCCCTCACAGTTCTGGGTGACTTTAACCTCCCTACGTCTGCCTTTGACTCATTTCTCTCTGCCTCCTTCTTTCCACTCCTTTCCTCTTTTGACCTCACCCTCTCACCGTCCCCCCCTACTCACAAGGCAGACAATACACTTGACCTCATCTTTACTAGATGCTGTTCTTCTACTAATCTCACTGCAATTCCCCTCCAAGTCTCTGACCACTACTTTGTATCCTTTTCTCTCTCGCTCTCCTCCAACACTACTCACTCTGCCCCTACTCAGATGGTAATGTGCCATCGCAACCTTCGCTTTCTCTCTCTTGCTACTCTCTCCTCTTGCATCCTATCATCTCTTCCCTCTGCTAAATCCTTCTTCCTCCAATCTCCTCATTCTGCCTCTTCAACCCTCCTCTCTTTCTGCATCTTTTGACTCTCTATGTCCCCTATCCTCCCGGCCGGCTCGGTCCTCCCCTCCTGTTCCGTGGCTTGACGACTCATTGCGAGCTCATAGTAGAGGGCTCCGGGCAGCCGAGCGAAAATGGAGGAAAACACCCTCCTCTCTACATTCTCTTCCTCTGTTTCCGCTGCTAAAGCCACTTTCTACCACTCTAAATTTCAAGCCTCTGCCTCTAACCCTAGGAAGCTCTTTGCCAACTTCTCCTCCCTGCTAAATCCTCCTCCTCCTCCCCCCCCCCCCCCTCCTCCCTCTCTGTGGATGACTTCGTCAACCATTTTGAAAAGAAGGTTGACGACATCCGATCCTCGTTTGTTAAGTCAAATGACACTGCTGGTCCTGCTCACACTGCCCTACCCTATGCTTTGACTTCTTTCTCCCCTCTCTCTCCAGATGAAATCTTGTGACTTATGACGGCCGGCCGCCCAACAACCTGCCTGCTTGACCCTATCCCCTCCTCTCTTCTCCAGACCATTGTCGGAGACCTTCTCCCTTACCTCACCTCACTCATCAACTCATCCTTGACCGCTGGCTATGTCCCTTCCGTCTTCAAGAGAGCGAGAGTTGCACCCCTTCTCAAAAAACCTACACTCGATCCCTCTGATGTCAACAACTACAGACCAGTATCCCTTCTTTCTTTTCTCTCCAAAACTCTTGAGCGTGCCGTCTCTAGCCAACTCTCCTGCTATCTCTCTCACAATGACCTTCTTGATCCAAACCAGTCAGGTTTCAAGACTGGTCATTCAACTGAGACTGCTCTTCTCTGTGTCACTGAGGCTCTCAGCACTGCTAAAGCTAACTCTCTCTCCTCTGCTCTTATCCTTCTAGACCTATCCGCTGTCTTTGATATTGTGAACCATCACATCCTCCTCTCCACCCTCTCTGAGTTGGGCATCTCCGGCGCTGCTCACTCTTGGATTGCGTCCTACCTTACAGGTCGCTCCTACCAGGTGGCGTGGCGAGAATCTGTCTCCGCACCACGTGCTCTCACCACTGGTGTCCCCCAGGGCTCAGTTCTAGGGCCTCTCCTATTCTCTCTATACACCAAGTCACTTGGCTCTGTCATATCCTCACATGGTCTCTCCTATCATTGCTACGGAGACGACACAATTAATTTTCTCCTTTCCCCCTTCTGATAACCAGGTGGCGAATCGCATCTCTGCATGTCTGGCAGACATATCAGTGTGGATGTCGGATCACCACCTCAAGCTGAACCTCGGCAAGACGGAGCTGCTCTTCCTCCCGGGGATGGACTGCCCGCTCCATGATCTCGCCATCATGGTTGACAACTCCATTGTGTCCTCCTCCCAGAGTGCAAAGAACCTTGGCATGACCCTGGACAACACCCTGTCGTTCTCCGCTAACATCAAAGTGGTGACCCGATCCTGCAGGTTCATGCTCTACAACATTCGCAGAGTACGACCCTACCTTACACAGAAAGCGGCACAGGTCCTAATCCAGGCACTTGTCATCTCCCGTCTGGATTACTGCAACTCGCTGTTGGCTGGGCTCCCTGCCTGTGTCATTAAACCCTACAACTTATCCAGAACGCTGCAGCCCATCTGGTGTTCAACCTTCCC